TGTTTTGTTGTTTAGCGACCTTTGCTGATGGTGTTGTCGATAACTTTGTCTTCGATGTATTCTTGTTTGTACAAACTTTAACTTTGGATTTGGCTTTTATGGGTTTGTATTTTGGGTGGTCGCTCTTCATCGTATTCTCGTTGGTAGACAAAAGTGAAACATCCCACAAAATTTCCGAAAGATCCAACGATGATAAATTTAGACTTTCAGCATCTTCTGACTCTTGGAAAATATCAGCATAATCAACTTTAATCTTATCAGCATCTAGTTCGTTATTAACTTGAAGTATATCTACCAGACTTTTTAGCTTAGGAAACTCGGTATTTTTCCAAACAAGAGTATACTTTTGAGAAATTTCAACCTTTCTTTCAATCACCGATATTGTAATTGAGAATAACAGCGGATTATCGATAGCGTCATCATCAGAAGCATCATCTTGAACTTTATTTACATGAATAATAATTTCAACAATTACATTTTCATCAAGCAGATGTGTTTTCCTAACCCAGTTTACTCGATATTTTGATTGGTTGCCAAAATCCACCCAATACCTTAACATCAACGCCTTTATCCAAAAATCAAACTGGGATTCAGCAATCGAGAACTCATATCCATCATTTTTTCCAGATTTTTCAATCTCTTCAAACACCACGTCGTCATTTGGAGGCAAATTTTCGTCATTCACCTCTAGCTCTGCTGAAAAAACTTCACTTTTCGAACTTGTCGCCTCCCCCAAAACGGATTGGTCACCCATTTTACTCAGAAAAGCTTCTTTAAATACTTAGAATCATTTTTAGATTATGAAACCGGATAAAAAAGGCATGAGACAACAGTAATACAAGAAAAAAAGATCAGCGAAGACAATCGGCGGCCATATTGAATTGCCGCCATGTTTTTTATATGTTTTTTGTTTATCATATGATGTAACCTTAATCTTTCCGCGTCCTGTCAGCTTATCATATAACATGTTTATTAAATCGCGTGCTTTGTAAATAGGATTAAGTTTCATGTCTCATCCACTTGTACATATACAAACTTTTCGACAAACCGCGAGAATTTTCCATCAAAAATTTTTGAAAATGACAAAATATATTAGAAAACCTCCACAAATGAGATATAAGTTAGTTATAAACCTC